CCCCTCCTCCCTCAGACCCAGGAGTCTTGACCCCCAGTCCCCTCCTCCCTTAGACCCAGGAGTCCCGACCCCCAGATCCTCCTCCCTCAGACCCAGGGGTCCCGACCCCCCAGCCCCTCTTCCCTCAGACCCAGGAGTCCTGACCCCCCAGTCCCCTCCTCCCTCAGACCCAGGAGTCTTGACCCCAGCCCCTCCTCCTTCAGACCCAGGAGTCCTGACCCCAGTCCCCTCTTCCCTCAGACCCAGGAGTCCTGACCCTAGTCCCTCCTCCCTTGGACTGGGGGTCCTGACCCCCTCCACCCTTGGACCAGGGTCCGGCACCACTCCTTGAAGCCTCCACAGCCCAGCTACTCACTCCATGGGTAGAAGAAACCCTGGATTCCATTCCCATCTGTGAGAGAAAGAGACATGTTGAGGCCCTATGGTACAGCTGGTGGCTCCCTGCTCAGATCCCCCCTCACGACCCGACGCCTCACCCACTGCACCATGCAGGAGCAGAAGGAGAGTCAGAGCTGAGATCCCGGAGCCAGCCATGTTGCCTCCCCAGACCCCTGGGCCTCTGTGGGGTGCTGGCCATCACCCCAGTAACGCTGGGCCCCACCCTGCCTATGACCCCCAAGATTCCAAGTTCTGTTGCTAAGGGGTCCCCTTAGTTATGAAGAAAAGAAGTGGGAGGTCACACTAGCCTGGTTAGTCTGGTTGCTAGGGAGTTGTTTCCCTAGCAACCAGGTAGCTGGGGCCTTGGAGGAAGGGGGCTCTGGCTTTTTATTGTGTCTTGAGCGAAGGTTTACAAGATCATCAACTTTATATTCAGTAAGTCATACACTGTTTCGGCTCAATTATTACAATCCCCTCCCTGCAACAACAGTTATCCCACATCCTCCCTCTGCTTCCTACCTGTGTCCCACCCACCTTCCCATCCATCCCTTCTCAATTTGTCCTTAGGAAAATTGCCCTTTTGCTCTTGGATGACAGACAATTCCATGGTGAGCATACTATAAACCTATCTATGGCTTTGCTGAAAATTGGGCCACAGGGCGAGTTCCTTTCCAGACGTGAAGGGTAGTCGAGGGTCCTAGTCTCAGCTTCCTCCTGTCTTTTGTTTTAGTTTTTTAAATAATTTTTACTTTTGTTGCACATTTTCTCCAGTTCTATCTGGGACCCTCTAATAGGATCCCTTTCAGAGCAGTTGGTTGTGGTAACCTCAGAGTCTCGTGTTCCAATCGTCTATTGGACTAATTAACTCCACGCCTCTTCAGTTCTTAGCGCCCTTCTTTCTTCCGCACGCGGAGAGACCTTAAATGGTTATCCGTCCGAGATGCTACTCACCCAAGTAGGATGTGGAACATTGTCTTGTGGACTGTGTTATGCCGATTGACCAAGGTGTCTGGCTTTTGGTTTATGGTTGAAATAGAAACCTCAGCTGTCCACTCCGCTGACCTCACTTTTCCTCTTACTCTCTCCCTTAATGATGGTCCTGGGATCACCTGTTACTGAAACGAACCATAACTACTCCCTTCTTTTAGTTACACGTCTTCTACAATTACACTTTTAACAACCACAATCCTGCTAATGATTACTCACAATTGAAGTTAAAAAATCCTGTCAGTATCACTGCCCAATCCCATTCACCAAACCCATCTGGCAAAGAGGAAAATTATTCAGTGGGGAATTCGCCTTTGTCCCCTCATTCTAAAACTAAGCACACCCATGAAAGCTTGTAAGCTAGTCATGTCTTTCCTTCATGGCCCCCCCATTTTTCATAGCCAATGTGTGAATCAACCCAGTATAAGGAGCTTTGGTAGTGTAGTGGTTACGAACCAGGCTGCAAACTGCAAGGTCAGCAGTTCGAAATTACCAGCTGTTCCATGGGAGAAAGATGAGGCTTTCTGCTCCCATAAAGATTTATAGCCTCAGAAACCCTGTACAGGGTCACTATGAGTCGGAACCGACTCCACGGCACATAACAACGACAACAACAACCTACCCAGTACACTGGGGAGACAAGCATGTTCCTTGATATGAAGACTCTTCCGTTCCGACTGGAATTTTGAGCATCTGCATCCATAAGCAAAAGTCCAGTTCATCAAATTGTAGCTGTTGACACTTGCTCAGAGTATCAATACCTTTATCTTCACCTAGTTAGGCTCTAGCCATCCAAGCTAGGCCAAATGGGTACCAGCTGCAAGTCTGGGAATACACACACACTTCCCAATCAACTGCTCCTCTCAGTCTCAGTTCACACAACTCCCTAAACTTCAGCCAGCCTTCGGCTCCTCTTAGCTCAAGGTCAGTGGGTGCCAATAGAACACATCCAAATTCAGCCCACATCTTCATTGCTGCATTTCCTCCAATTCTACCCACACATAGACCTAGGTGGTCACCAACAAACATAAGTCTCCAGTTCCTTTTAACTTTCAGTCCTAGAAGAGAGTTTTCTTTCCCTAGAAGGGAGTTTTCTCTGATGGGCCGACTTTCCTTGCTTTGATGTCTCAGAAACTCATAAAGCCAAATTGTCCACTTTTTTCCCTCTGCTTTCTTTCAATCATGACTCTTCTATTCTTCCAGCAGGTCTGGGTTGTCTGCGTGTCTCTTCAAATACAAATGTGCTAACCTGAAGGTTCAGGGTAGGGTTTAGGATTCTACCAAAGGCCCAAGACTCTACAAATGCTTAAAGCAAAAAGCCTGTCCCCCTGAATGTAAAACTAAAGTTCTCCCATGTAAACTATCATATAATTCACAATAAAAAAAAAAGGAAAAATAAATAAATATATTTTTAAAAAAACTAATAAATTCAATTAGATTATTTCTTTGCTTAAAAAAAAAAAGCCTGTCCCCCCCCAGCCCCATCCACCCAGGGAAATTCTAACTCTCCTTTTAGTAAATCCAGTCAAGTCCTGGTGGATATAAGCCACAAGACTGGTGGTTCAAACTCACCAGCCACTCTTCAGAAACCCTATGCAGGGTCGATAAGCAAGTATAGGTTGAAGGTGGGTTTACAAGTTCTGTGTAATCACTAGTTCCAATATTCATTTCTATCACAAATATAAGTTGATTTTACAATATTATTGTTGTTGTTAAGTGCCTTCGAGTCGGTTCCAACCCATAGTGACCCTGTATAGGGTTTCCTAAGAGCAGCTGGTGAACTTGAACCACCAACCCTGCAGTTCAAACCAACTTTGCAGTCCAGCGCATTAACCCACAACACAGGCAGGAGAAACCAATATCCAAAAGGCAGTCAAATTCATAAACCATTGAAAATAATCAAGCTCAATCTTTTCCCTTGGACTAAACCTATTCATATGCATGTGGCCTTTGACCTTAGACCCTGGCCCTGTGTCAGCCATCCCTTTTAACCAGCTCCAGGCAACTCCAGAAACTGTGGCTCTCCCCTCAGCTTAAATATTTTATCCCATGCCCTTGGTCCTTTCTCTTACAAAACCTCATCATTTCATAGGTCTGGAGCCATTGCAATAAATCCTACTCACAACACCAAATGCTTAGACCAAGTGGGACCTTATGTCTTCCCCTGACTCTACCAGCTGGAAAGAGGGCCCAACTCAACTTCAGCCCAAGGCCGATTCCTATAAAGTGGAGGTCAGACATGCCTTCACCTATATCAGTACTGCCTTTAGAATTAGTCAGACTTGATAACCAATTTAGACAACTCATCCTTGTGATTTTATTTCTCTAGAACCCCACACTCTGTTACCACATCTTAGGCTGGGATTTCTAGAGGAGCAAAACCAGGTGAACATATATATGTATATCTATGGAGAGAAGTTTATCATCAAGGAAATGGCACGCAATTGTAGAGTCCCCAGATCCCCAGAGGAAGAGAGGAAGAGTCCCTTCTGCATGTCCATTATATTGGGAGCAGGCCACGCCCCCTTTCATTGATTGGCTGCTCATAGCAACTCATCAGCGTTAACTCTGCCTGTGTTAGGTTTCATCATCATAGGAATTATCACATTCCAACTGCTAAACCTCTGGACATCCTGGGCTAGTCAAGTTGTCACAGAACTTGTTACAGTCACTATGAGTGGGAATGAAGTCCACAGCAGGGGGTTGGGTTTGGTTTTGGTTAAAGGTCACCACATCCCTTGACTCATGACCTTTTCCTCCATTTCCAAAGCTCATCACTCTGCTCTCTTCTGTCACCCATCTCCTCCTCTGACTCTAGACTTGCCACCCTCTTTCCCTTAAAAGGACACTTTCATCCTGCCCCAGTGAACTATGGCCAGACACATGGACAGATACACAGGCTGAAGGGGGTGGAGGGAGAGTGGGAGTATATGCACAAATATATCAAGGTGGTTGTTGTGAAGTGCCGTCGAGTCGGTTCCGACCCACAGCGACCCTGTATAGGGTTTCCAAGGAGCGGCTGGTGAGCTTGAACCGCTGACCTTGCAGTTCAAACCGACTTTGCAGGACAGTGCGCCATGCACTAAAGGTTAGACAGGATATTTGATACTTACCTTCGCTTCAAACATATCCATGGATGCGGTGGAGCATGTTGTTGTTAGGTGCCAATCAAGTTAGTTCTGACCCATAGCGACCCTGTGCACAAGGGAACCAAACACTGCCCGGTTCTGTGCCAGCTTCACAGTTGTTATGCTTGAACCCATTTCTGCTGCCACTGTGCCAATCCATCTCATCGGTGGGCTTCCTCTTTTTCGATGACCCTCCATTTCACCAAATGTGCTGTCCTTCTCCAGAGACTGGTCCCTCCTGATAACATGTCTGAAGTATGAGAGACGAAGTTTCACCATTTTGGCTTCTAAAGAAAAAGCTGGCTGTATGTCTTACAACACATCTGTTTGTTCTTCTGGCAGTCCATGGTACTTTTAAAATTCTCCTCCAACTCCATTACACAAATCCACCAGTTCTTCTATGGTCTTCCTTATTCACTGTCCAACTTTCACATGCATATAAGGTTATTGACAAGACCCTGGCTTGGGTCAGGCTCACCCTAATCCTCAAACTGTTATCTTTACTCTCGAACACTTCAAAGAGGTCTTGTGCAGCAGAATTGCTCAGAGCAACACGTCATTTGATTTCTTGACTGCTGCTTCCACGAGTGTTGATGGTGGATCTAAGTCAAATTAAGTCTTTGACAACTTCGATCTTTTCTCCAGTCATCATGGTGTTGTTTATTGGTCCAGTTGTGAGGATTTTGTTTCTTCACATTGTATGGGTTCTGTACAACCCATACAGAAGGCTGTGATCTTTAATCTTCATCAGTAAGGATTTTAAGTCCTCTTCACTTTCAGTAAGCAAAGTTCTCATCTGCATGTTGTCATTGTTATTAAGTGCTGTTGAGTCGGTTCCGACTCAGAGCGGCCCTGTACAGGGTTTCTAAGGAGTGGCTGGTGGGTTTGAACTGCCGACCTTGTGGTTAGCAGTCCAGTGCTTATAAAGGGGACAAAAGTCTGAAAACTTCATAGATATTACCAAATACATTTAAGGAATGAACTTCTAAGCCTGGGGGCTCAGAACCATAGTCTTGTGGGACACCATAGTCAATTGGCATA